AAAGTACTTTAAAGTGTATAAATAAGTTCCCGGTCAATTGATTTACATCAGCCAATCAGACAAATGTCCTCCTATGAAATGTCTGTCATTTCCTTTTTAGAGGTTTGTATTACCTGCGCAAATAAATAGATATGCTAATTTGATATCACGTCAAAAATTATTTTCTAAAATGTCTGAAGAAAATTTTATGGTCACACAGGTAAGTATCGTAATAAATGTTAAAAAAGAGCCTTCAGACATTAACTATGCTTTAGTTCTTGTGAATTATTTGAAGAAGCGCGAACAAGGTTCTTGGTCTTATACGGATTTTTTAATTACAAACTGTGACATTATCGTAGTTTCACTACTATATTTGAATAATTATACAAGTCTTAATGGCACCTGGACCAAGCGATTCCTGACGTCTGTAAGAGAGTTGTATCCAGAGTTTGCTGACCATATAGAAAGGAAGGTAATTTGCTTTCATTTAGTTTGACAGAAAGGAGTTTTCATGACAGGTATTACCTGTATATAGATTATCAGAAATTTTCTGATCTGAGTGGTGGTAGTATGGCAGTCCTTAACAGGTATTACCTGTACATATATGATCAAAAATTTTCTAGCCCTATCATTGCGACCTGTCCTCTTTTGTATTTGTTTGGTTTGACAGAAAGGAGCTTTCATGACAGATATTACCTATGCATGGGGTGAGTCTTTAGCAGGTATTACCTGCTCAGAAATTTTCTGACCCTACTATTGTAATTCATTCTTTTTTGTTTCAGTTTAGTTTGTTGGAATATTGAAATATATATCTAACAATTTACTTTTAACATAGGCAGAACAAGAACGCACACCTGATTTTTATCAATTTTGGAATGATTTAATGGATGAACGATTAAAAGTAAGGGTACCAAGGAGAATTTTCTTAAATCTTATTTATGTATTTTTCTTGAAAAATAATCATAAATTATTATAAATCCAAAGTTCGGAAACTATACAATAAAGAGACACTTCTTACGCTTGAAGACTCTGGAAAGTATCACAGAAGGCAGCTACGCTCATCTTACAGAAAGGAAGAAGCGTCTTCGAGCAAGCGTTCTAATAGCACTTTTATGTTCTAATCAAATTCCTCTCGCAGAGGCAAAGAAGGTCAGCATTAAGAATTCACAAATAATCTTGCAAAAATGTTAAACTTTTCTTATATTTCAGATATGCACAGCTCAAAGCTGTTAAAGGAAATTCGAATGCCAGAATCAATAGCGACAATATTATTGAAATAATCAAGACTATATACCAACAATGTATGGATAAGAATTAGGGATCTGCGGGTCGGGCTCATGCCCATGCCTAACAAAAAGCATAGGCAAGGCGCAGACACAAAATCTTAGGCATGGGCATAGGTACAGACACAAAAATTTGGCACGGACATGGACACAGGCATAAAAGTTTGACATGGGTTGGCATGGGTATGGGCATAGATACAAAAATGTGACCAAGAACTTTTATAAGTCATCACTTAGTGCCTGCAACATTTGTGTCTGTGCCCTTACAGTACCTGCCCGCAGTGTTGTCACTCGGACCGGACCGGACCGGACAAGGTAGTCATGTCCGGCAGACAGTTATATTGTTACCTTAATAAATTATAATCGAATATAGCCAAGTATATAGTGGTTATACTCGGTTAACTTTTTACCCAAGATAACCTTAAGTAAAATCTGATAATTAATATCACCTGGACTTTAATTTATTTATTAGCTATGAAACTTAAATTACGTCGTTGTTCGATTTCAAAACCTAATTCATTTTATACTGAGAGATTTGTAAAAATATTTATAAATATACAAAATATTACCTTTTTGTGTATATATCCAAGACAGTATATAGCCCAACCAAAGTTCCATCTTGGATTGTAATTAATAAAAGTATTAGTAAGGTTTTTTATTCATAAAGTTTAAGATATTTTATTTCGTTCATGCTTAGAGAACGTAGTTTTCTTTAAAGCACGAAAGTTTTTCAATACACAATATCTTCGAAAATACAAAGTACCCAACTTATAGAATACCTACTAACACCTGAGTGTTTTGCAATTTTTCGAATTGATAGGCCTTTTAAATTTTTTTCAATAATTTACTAGCAAATGTGCTTTGAAAGTATCATATTTTTGGAATTCAACAAGAGATAAGTATAATTTATTGTATATATATTAGTATCGGCTGAAAATCATCCAGCAAATTTTTTATCAGAGATTCAAAAGTTATGATAATACCGGTAGCTGTAATCCGGTTATCATATCTTAGGATAGGACTACCAAGATTTTTTTTTTTTTTTGTATACAGTATATCTGATTTTTTTATAATGTCTTACTCTCTAGTCTTTTTATAGAGTTGCTTTCTCTGGAGTCTTGGGATCTTTGTTTCTTGGTGATTTTTTTTCATTGATGTCGTCATTAGTGTCATCATTTGTTGGTACTGTTGTTTTGGAGTTAGTATTCTAGTTTCGCCATTTCATTAAATGGTGTCTTTAGCATCGCCATTTTACAGGTGGTTGTCTTTTGTGTTGCCGTTTTATAGGTTGTCGCCTTTGGTGTCATTTCACAGGTGATCATCTTTGGCATCACCATTTTATGTGCAGTCGTTTGGTGTTGCTTTTTGTTGGTTTTTATGTCTTGTATATGGTTTGTATGTTTCTTTGGTGATTGATAGTAGGT